GAAGAAGGAGGTGAAGGCCAGGGATGTGGAGGTTGAGAATCTCAGAGAGAAGCTCAAGAACTCTGTGACACTTTCCAAGGGCAGCAGCTATGGCGGCAAGAAAGGAAGATCGCAGTCCAAGAGGAAAGTCGGCTGCAGTTTTGGTCAAGGTATGAGATCAATATTCCAATTCCTGATAGACTGATTATAAACATTATGCATCTTTCTGCTGCGATTCTTGATCTACAGAAACCTAAATTGCATTATCATAATGATTTGTTGGTGTGCATTAAATGAAGCAAAATTACCTGATTTTGCTTGTACTATAACTACAATTCAATAGGAAGAACTTAGCAATAGAATGAAGCCTGTTGATAGGAAAGGGAGTAGAAGAAAAGGTTTTACCATTTTTGGTTGATTTGATTGAAAATTTGGGGCCAAAGATCTCACAGCTGACGCCTCCATTTATGGCAGTGGCGGCATCCCCCGTCCCTGAGCTGTTCGAGGCCACAATGAGCCAAGTGAAAGAGGCCTCAAAAGCCTTCACATCGCTTTTGCTCTCCCTTATGCGCTCTGCTCACTGGGACATTGCTGCTGCAGTGCGCTCCATAGAATCAGCCATTGCTGAAACTGACAATGCTTACCTTGACACTGTTGCCACCACCCACCATGCGAAGTTTGCTCTGGAATCTTATATTTCCCGCAAGATTTTCCATGGGTTCGATCACGAGACCTTCTACATGGATGGTAGTCTCTCCTCGCTGCTCAATCCCGACCAGTTTCGGCGGGACTGTTTCACCCAATATCGTGACATGAAGGCCATGGATCCTGCTGAGCTTCTTGGAATCTTACCAACTTGTCATTTTGGCAAATTCTGCTCCAAGAAGTATCTTTCCATTGTTCACCCCAAAATGGAGGAGTCCTTGTTCGGAGACTCGGAGCAGCGTCGACAAATCTTGGCTGGTAACCACCCCAGGAGTCAGTTCTATGCCGAGTTCTTGGGGCTGGCCAAGGTGGTTTGGCTGCTTCATTTGCTGGCATTCTCGCTCGACCCAGCTCCAAGCCAATTTGAGGCAAGCAGAGGAGCTGAATTCCATGCACAGTATATGGAAAGTGTGGTGAAAGTCTCATGTGGACGGGTATCAACTGCTCTTACTGTGGGATTTCCAGTTAGTCCTGGGTTCAAGTTGGGTAATGGTTCTGTCATCAAAGCCAGAGTTTTCTTAGTTTCCAGGAATTGAGATATTTTTATGGCATTATTTAGCTTACCCACAACTTGTTATGCTTTCATCCTAGTTTGGCTAAAAGAAAAACAACAATAATAATTGACAAAAAAAAAAAAAAAAACTTTTAGGATGGTAGAACAGTGATTATAGTAAGCTGCCGTCATCATTGTTCCACCTTTTCTTTGAGTTGTAAGTTGGAATCCTTCTTTCTTACATATTTGTAATTTAGTAATCTAAAAGAATGACTATGGCAAGTCATTCATGTTTATAATTATGTATGATTATGTGTTTACCTTGAGTTAAATGATAATAGATGCACTATTGCACTGTGGTACGAAACAAGCTCCCTCTATCTAATATGTAACGTTTCTAAATCTAAATTGTACATTGGCAACCAACTCATAGAATTGTCCTGTGAATTGCATGCAAGTTAGCCTAAACGAACTCACGAATCAGCATCTAGTTACCATTTACTTGGAGGTAAGAGTGTTCGAGTGAACATTAAAGGCCCTGTGAATTTCAGAAGATGGTTTTATTGCAAAATTCATCTCTGGTACCAAGAAAATTCCTAAAAGCATAGGGCAATATAAGTAAAACAATTCAGGAGTTTGGTTTGAACTTTCTTCAACGATTACAAATAAACGTATTATTATACATTGAATTGAATTGGAGAAGAACGTGGTGATCATCATTGAAGGAGGAAAGGGAACAATCTCTGATGCGCCTGAAAGGGCAGATTTCCTGCAAAATGTTTATAGGCCGAAAAGCTTCTTTGCCTGCCAAAGTTTGAGCAAATACTTAAAAAGACTGACAATTTTATAGCTCAGATTGCCTGTCATGAGTACTAAATTGAGTATAGTTTAACAAAAACAGAAGGAAAATTATTTAGATTAGTCAAACAAAATGAAGCAAATTAAAGAAGCTTTTAGCACATGTTCTACAAGTTTTAAAGAATTCACCAAAAGTTTGAAACCCCTTGACCACCTACCTCCAGTTGCTTTTGTCCCAGAAAAAGGAAAAAAAACAAAACAAAAAGATGGATTTTAGAACATAGGAAGCTAAAAAGGCAAGCATATTCCTATCACCTAAAGAATGGAAATCCCAACCGAGGAAAAGTAGGCATTTAAATTTAAGTTAAATACTATTTTGGTCTCTACAATTTTTGTTAATTTTAATCCCTATATTTTTAAAATATTTATTTTGATCTATTTAATCCCTAGAATGGATATTTTAAAATTACAAATGACTAAAATGAACAACAAAAGTTAAAACAGAGACTAAAATGAAAGTTTTGAAATTACAAATACCAAAATGAACCAAAGCCGAACACATCGATATTTAAATCTAATTTAAATCAATTCTCATATCAACCATTAGAAAACAGTATGAATGGAAATTCNAAAGTATAGATACCAAAATAATATTTAAGGTGTGCTTGGGAGTAATTTTGGCATGTTTGGCAAATTAAAAATGACCAAAATCACTCTTGCAAAATTACTTCTCTTTCTGTTGATCATGTTTGGAAAATTAAATAATTGATTTTATATATATATATTTTTTTTATAAGAAACAACACTCCCAAACACACTCTAGATATATAAAAAATCACTTTAAATTGATTTTAAGTATAATTTGGAAGGTGATTTTGAAAAATCAATTATACTAAAAACTTTTTTTTTCAAAATCACTCATTCTACCATCACTCCCAAACACACTCTAAATATACGAGGATAGGTGATTTTGAAAAATCAATTATACTTAAATATCTTTTTTAAAATCACTAATTCTACCATCACACCCAAACACACTCTAAATATTATGAGGATTGGTGATTTTGAAAAATCACTTGAATCTCTTTTTTCAAAATCACTCCGAACTTGAGGATAGGTTCAGAGAATGTCTTTCCCATTCTACTTTCATCATTTCTAAGAAAAATTATAGAAGTTTCTCCCACTCTTCGTTCAGCATGCAGTAATTAAGAACAATTAATAATTTGAAAATCTTACTTTCTCAAGAGTCAGAAACATGACCACGTTCCAAGATCCAAGCCGACCAAAATTTGGAAGAAATCCTTTGTAGAAGGCAAAAGGCCCCTGTAGTTGATTCGTTGCACAATATTATAAGATTACACACTAACGATTTTCCATAAAAAAAAATTAACAAGACAATAGAGTATTGTGGGCATGAGCTCCTAGTTTATTTTCCCTAGTTATTTCATCTTCATATTATTTGCTTTCAGAAGCCATTTGGATTCACTCTGGAACTAAGTTAACAATATGCAGTGCAACAGAGTTGTAAGTTGAGATTCCTCAAGAGTTTTAGGATTTTGCATCTTTTTACAAGCCAGTCCAGAAGCGGCTTGATAGTAGTTTTTAGATCTAAATGTTACATAATTATATCAAACCCCATAAAAACAGAAATAGGCATACCTCATTCTTTAAGGTTTTGATGAAGCAATCAACGGTATTTTTGTAGGTCGAATCTCCCATCATTCTTGATTTCACCTGGAAAATAAACCAAGGCATCAAAGCCAACATCGACAGACTACTTAAATTACAATAAAGCTGTAGAACTAACTTCATTAGGATCTACTAGCATCCACTCACTATAGCTTGCATCAGCAAATTTTGGGGTAATTCTACAAATTGAATTGCCTAAATAGCAAAATGAGAAGGGAGAATACAGAGCCCAGCAAAAACAGTACAAATAAAAAATAATTGAAATTTCTAAACAATAAAAAATGACACAAGTATGATATGTTTATCACATCACTCATCGTGACAGTCAAAAGATATAGATGCAGCAGAATCCAGGAATAAAATGAACACATATTGACTACGAAAGAAAAACATTACGACTCATCATTTGCTTGGTTACTTCACAAGATGGCTAGATATTATAAAGAGAAGTATCATTTCAAATCCCAAACAAAAATTTGAGCTTGATGCTCTATAAAATTTATAGCTATACACTTTCTTCATGTTTCCACGGTTAGTGCTTCTCTTAATATTATCATAAAAGATTCCACCCACTTCATCATAACATTCAGGATAATGTTGCAGCTGTAGGGGCAATATCGTATGAGAGCAGAATCAATATGGCTTAACGAAAGGTAATTACTATAGTGTAGTGTAGCAAGCATTAGAAACCATTCTGATTCGAATCAAACGACTAGGCTCTGCAGAGAAACATAAATATATTCAAATATGATGAAAAGAAAGAAAGCCGTAGGATTAACATCAAGTCCCAAATGGGGAAAGAATGCCTACCACATCAACTGGGGAACCAATGCAAACCGCAAAGAAACCTGCACCTAGACCAGCTAGGAGGTGAGTAAAAATATTGTCTAGGAATCCTGGAATTTTCAAAATCATCTGCGTGAGTATAAAGTAATATATTACTAGGGTTCGAACACTAACTCAACTGTTAATGGCAATAACTTATAAAACTACAACACAATTTGAAGAGATTACTAATGTTTATATACCTGCTTCACTTGGTCATAACTTGCCAGTTCTGCAGCATTGATAATAGCATTCCTTGCTATGTTTGGACCAATGCCCGTCCACAAGGCCGTGAGTCCTTCCTGCACCTCAAAATATTTCAGGAAAAGAACTAATTAAGGGATATCAGATAGAGAAAGATATGCTATGATATGACTAGCCTGTCTTATGATGCTAAGATATGCATCTAAAGTGCCTGAATAACGTCTAGGCACCCCAATTGGCAATTTCCCTTCAGCTTGAAGGCGAACCTTTACAAGATCAGTTGGATTAGCCACAGAAATTGCTAAAGCACCTGCCATAATAAGGAATCCCATTACAGCAGATTTGACAGGAAACATATATTCGTTTCAGTGGGCAGAAAATGCAATGAAATGGCAAGAATATTGCGGGACCTTCATTTCGGGAGAAGGAGATCGACGATGCAAGTCAAATTACATTTTCAGAATGAAAAACGTATAAAATCTACCTACCAGTAATCAGAGCAGCAAAAATCTTCTGATGTAGAGGTATATCTCCAACAAAATTATTGCCGACTAAATATAGTTTAACCTGTCTAGTGTTAAAATTCTTAGTTACAAGAAGTGTACCATGTAAGGATCAAAGATTAGATGTCTATATCCATCAATTTGGAAAATCACTGCACTCACAGGATCGTATAGCCCAATCCTTAGGCCGCCATAGATACACTGACGATGTAATCCTGCAATAACTCCCTTCCAAAGGGCTGGCAAACCTTCTTCCCTAGCAATGGTGGCCATAGTTCCCATTAAGCCCCTGTATTTCGATTGGCTCACCCCATCTGCAGCAGCTGCTCTCTTCTGCAGCTGAAGTCTGACTTTTGCGACGTCCAAAGGAATAGTACAGAGCTGCACAATTGCAAACAAAAACCGAGCTAAAAAAACAACAAAATGACCAATTCACAGGCCCAAGAATCAGATCACCGCAGTCTAAAAAATTCCTAGAATAAAAAAAACATAGTCCACTGCAGCGATCTCGAAGAGTTCATTAATCAGTCTAGAGCAAACAAAGGAGGTGGATACCGTGAAGCGATTCATACAGTTGTGCAAATCGAAATTTACCTCGGCAATGCAAGCGGCGAAAGCACTACACAGAAATATCTGAAAGAATGAGAAATCGGTCTGTGACTGAGGATCCGCCATTTGAGGACGGAAAACAGAGCTAGACAACGAGGATTGCAAACGGCAAGAGGAATGAATGACTCGGGTGGAGTAGAACAGTGAAATTAGGTCTTTTCTATTATAGAACTCAAAACTTAATGAAGAAGCAAAGGTAAGTCGACAAAACTGGCTTCGATGGCCACCATTCACGGGCGTTTCTCAGCGGTAGTTGTACAGTAGCATCCAGTATCCCCGGAGTATTAAATCCAGTAATACCCTAATCGAATCAATAGAGAAGAAAATGAAAAAGGACCGCCGGCGACAAGCTCCGGCATCGGAAGCCCCACCAGCAGCAGCTTCCTCCGACGGAAATGGAGGTTTGGTCTACGTAGCGGTCTGGTGAATCAAATCACACCACATGGGCATCGTACTTGCAATACAGGAGCTGACGGAGGAACAAGAAAATGG